TCGTCGTTTACAACTGTGTCGCCAAAGCGTCCAATTAAATGAAAAATGAATGAAAAAAATTTTCAACCACATTCGTTTCGTAATGTTTGTGATTACAAACGGTGTTTTTAGCAAACTCACTCTTCACTTGGGTTCTTAAAAGCCGTTATATGAAACGAACGGTAATTGGTAAATTATTAATAGTTTATATAAGCAGGCGAAGGTACTCCAATGCGAGTCTCTGGGAAGACCCACGTTTAATGTGGGCCGCGCAAGCTGAAATTTATGCACAATCAAAATTTACCATAATTTTTATAAAGATTATAAAATAAAATAATAATATAAATTCTAGCAGAATCGAGTAAGTATATTTTCCTCATTGAAGAAGTTGACTACAATAATTTACTACTCTTGCTGTATAGATCAGTCAAACAACATTAACATATATTTCCGCATAAGGTCATTTATTCCATTATTTTCTATTGAATCGTGGCCGGAAGACCGCAGAGACAACTCGACCCATCTGATAGTTGGGGCGAAGTCAGTAAAGTTCGTTTGCCACGCAAAAATGCTCAGGTAATGTATGAAAAGATGAACATTGTCTAGTCAATTTAGTCTGCCAACTCGGTTGTACATATCGTGATTTGATTCGAAAAATGCTATGTTATAGCATCATTTTATAATAATAAATTGTTTAGTGGGCTATTATCGTGAAGACACCGGCGAAAGAACCGACACCTTGTTAATGACTGATCTTCAATGAAAAAGGGAAAGTCTTGTATATTGTTTGAATTAATTGTAGAAACATAGAATAGCATAACCTGTAATCCCTTTTTAAAGCAGTGCTCTCAAGTTTTGCTTGTTTTCCCAAAATCAATCCTATTACTGTCTTCTTGCTTCTAACAAGTAGATGTCTTCAGCAAATATTTTGTTATAAGACAAAGCTATTACATAGATATTTCATCTGATAACAGGATATTGCAGTAGCTTAGGCGGCATGTCTGATCCGTATGGAGTCAGCGACTCGCGTCCAGAGAAGACAGAATTTATTTGCATTACATACAATAATTGCAGGATATTTGAATAGTCGCGCAGCCATAGGACACGCTCGAAAGCCACGGGACCCTACGGATTTATAGGGTTGTCATGGAAAATGCTAAAAGTTGTTTTGAAATTTACGTATAAAGCTAGGCAACCCAGTTAGGGAAGTTGCATGGCCCTTTGAGCCTGAAACTTATCCTAAACATAGCACTTCGCTTGAAATGTACGTCTGATACATTTCTTCTGAAGCTTTATAAGTATTGTACGATCTCGTTTTAATTATTATTAGGTTTTTTTTTTAAGTTACTTATAGCCCAACCCCCCTGTTTGTTGAGAAAGTAGCTGCCCAAAGAAGTCGTTTCAACAGGCGACCCTTGATGGTTTCATAAGCTATAGGCGAATACCACACGACAGGTATGATTAAATGAAAACAGTTATACACGCGGCAAGAGCTAGTTCGTGCGAAAATCCTTTCACCCCCTTAAAGGCTTACTCTCGTAGCAAGGCAAATTCAGTACTGAAAGTAGAACGTAATAATTTTTCTATAGGACGAATTATTGTCCTGACCTGGAAAATAAACAATAAGAGGCGCCTTGAACGTCAACGCTAACCAGATTGACACTATAAAGATATAACGCGCTTTAATGCAGTGTAGATTTTTTTGCTTGGGACTCGCTTTTTTTATTTACTAGAGATGTTTTGCTTCATCTAGCTTCATAAATCGGTTATTTACACAAATTATCGACATAAGTGCCCTTGATACCATAATTTTTTCAACATGCGTAAAAAGCTGGATATCTTCCTGATAAGTTGGTCATATCCAGAAATAGGATTCAAATGCAACATTCGCTTTGTCCAAGAAATTTGTGGAAAACAGAAGTGTGATATATATTTGCAGGTTATACAGGACCTAACCGACACATCGCTTGTCTTGCAACAACGATGCGTAATTGGCTTTACTTTAAAAGAAGACGGCGCATCGTAATTGTCGGATGACGCAAGAAACGAAGTTCACGGGTGGTCCTTGATCTACATTGGCTCGTTTTACATATTGACATTGAACGAAAAGGTGCATTGTTTTCGAGGCAAAAAGTCAGCACAGTGTGGCCTGTCGGCCTACTACGTGAGCCATCACTAAGATTCACCCCTCAACTGCATGGCGGGTTTTGCTAGTTGCGGCAACTGATGTCGTTGCTGGTATTATCCAATGTGCATGTGCTTTCAATTTTAGTCGTAAGGAGTTAGACCTTCCTTTTCGACGATAGTGTTTCTATGCTTTAAACTGTTTTGCTAATATTGATCATTGCAAAACGTGCGCCTTTAAACAGGGGCCGATTGGTCGAGTCAAAAAAGCGAGCGACTCGCACAATGAACCTGGGTTGACGTGCCCACCTGGGCAAGGCTAAGGATCTATCATTTGTCTGCCTGACATAGCCCAGGCACGCTGCGACGGTCGTGCTTATCGGGAATTGTTGCACAAAACACGTTTGTTTTGTCTTTGGCACGATTGTTTGCGTAACAGGGTCAAGCAAGCGTACCAACGGCTACGATGAGGCTTCCGCGTGTAACATAAGCGTGCCTTCGTAAACTAGCTAAAATTCGCCTGTGATCATTTGGAAGAAACATCAGTATGCCTGCCTGCCTGCCTGCCTGCCAGCCAGTCAATATTATTAAGGCACAACGTTCCAAAAATGACTGTATGCGTGAATACAGTCATTGTCGTGCAGTGATGAACGTATATCGTTTACGCCTAAATATCCAACGTTCGCTTATGCAGATAATTTAAGTCTCGAAACCAACAGGCTTAACCAAAGCTATTTAACATCTAAGAGATTCTATTTGAAGCACAGTAGGAACTGATTGACGTATCGCAATATCCATAACAGTGGGTAATACACTTCAGACCTAGAATTCACTTAGGTAGTAGTATAATTTCAACAAACTAAACCAATCTGATTTCGTGTCACCGACTGTAGCCGAGTGATAGCCGAGGCTGTACGCGACGATCAGCTGACAGTTGAAGATGGCATTTTCTTTATTGATACCTTATCTGTGTGTCTCTATGTCCATGCTTTATCACTATTCATGTTTATCGCCTTACCACCTGCCACCATTCATCAGCTCCCACGCTTCAGTCTTCAACTTGCTTTAAGCCTTTGTCGTCATTTGTAAACGCGGTCGCATCAGCAGCAGTAAACGTCTGTGACTGCGCGTTACAACCTTCCGTAACGAACAACTTCCAACGAACGATTTGAGCTTTGACGGCTCGAATCAATAAGCCACTTAGATGGAGGGAAGACACCACGGCCGAAGGGTATTTCCTCAGGGCTGTAACAGCCCACAATTTGAGTAACATAACCACTACGATAGCCATCTAAGCAAAATCTACTGGCAGCCACCAATGGCATTATTGATGTGGCCACTTCAAAAATGTTCCATGCGTTGATGCGCGCCTATAAAATGGCGTCAAGAGCTCTCGACAATTGGCACAGACATGCGTGCATTGACGGTACGTGAATGATAACTTGTTGTAACGGCACTTAACAACGGCGTGAAAATCAGGCGAACAATGAAAGCTAGACAGATGCCTACCGCCAACAACCCACACGGTAATCATACAGCGTTACATGTAGAGACACATGCACACTTTTTTCGTTGCCGTCAACGTTTCGGAAATGGGCGCATCCAAGGAAGCTTAAACCATATATATATATATATATATATATATATATATATATATATATATATATATAAAATGTGCGGCATTCATGATGATCCTGACAATCACTACGAAGAAAGTTCTACGTGAACTTCAGATTAGTGCATGACTCGCGTCACTAAGATGGTGACTGCTGAGAGCAGGTTAGCTTTGTGCGGCTGTTTGCCGTTATGGATGGTGAGCATGTATTTGTTAGAGATACGCACGCACTATGTATGTATTAGAGTCTATGAAGACACACTGCACTGTGAACGAATTCGAGGTAAACAAGCAAACATTAACGAAAGTTAAACAGGAACCGATATTTAGTATAGAAAACGCGTCTCATCGAACAAGATGTTTCGTGAAACCCACTTTCATAACGGTCAGGAGCTGTTTTCTCTTTGTTTACCTGTTACTCAGGCCTCGCGGAGCCCTTATGCTAGAACAGCTGAAAACTGAAATGGAAAATGAATTAAGGAAGTGTTAAGGGATAACACATAGACTAAAAGTGCGTCTACATCTCATTTCGGTTCTTACGTGTCCTTAGGTTTAGCAGACAACTACTATTCTATTGGTCTGTTATGCTCACAAAACGTTTCCGACAGAACCATATTCCACTATAACGTGTTTCCAATGGCAACTATATCTACACCAATCGTTCCCACACCAGCAACCTAGTCTTGACGTCCTCTATACAAGTGGGTCAACAAAGCCTTAATCGGTACTGCTGTGTTATGTCAGACGAGGATCGAAACCATATTGTGCTATGTCATCAACTGACAAGATTACCGTTTTATTTTATTTATACAAATTTAGAAAGCGAAATCTTCTTCATTGTCCCCCTTCCATACCGATTGCCAAACCAAAATTCACTTATATTGTGGAATGAACACACAGATACGCACGGACACACAAAACGTGGAAAGCGTCGCCGATAGTCAAATACGTAGTAGTCATATAGTAGTATAGTTACAGGGAAAGAAAAGACTGAACTCGGTAAGAGTCGATATTTCAGCCGACGGGCCTGAAAAAATGACAGAAGGATCCCATGCAGCCACCACCGTTGTTAGCGTTGCCGTCGCCACTTGACGTACCAGCTTGCCCCGACGCAAGCAACGACGACACGAATAGCGGCAGCTGATCAACGTGTGCTGCTGAGCTGATCGTTCGCCCCCTGCCTTCGAAGTGGCTCGGTCCATTTCCATTGGAACTCTGCCTATTGTTTACGTACACCGATGAGGATATGCGATAGGTGACAGAGTTTTATTCCAGCTAATCGACTGGGCAGCCGGGCGGCTATTCAGTGAGCCGACAATGCATTTAATGGCTTGCGCCGAGACGGCGCTGTCGATACGATCAGATGCGGAATCATCGATCATGATAACAGCAACCGGTCCATAGCTAACCCATTATGACATACCGCCCTGTTGCGTCCAATCGAACCGCTACAATAACATAGAATTCAAACATATACATACAGAGTAAACTATGTAATAACGTAGAGTGTTTGCATCACAGGTGTCCAATCCTGTACAATAGAACTCTCCACGGAATGTTCTCTCGATTAAATTGTGCTGCAGCACCAGTCATTCGAATTGACATTGAAGTCCGTCACGGCGATGGCGAAAGCAATAGTCGTGCTGTTGACGTTAATGGTATTAGCGTAGCCGAAACGATTGGTAGTAAGTGAGGTCGATAAGGCAAATGGTGAAGAACAGTTGATAAATCAATCTAGCCCTCCGATGGGAGATGTCGTCCGTATGACTCAAGAGATCGTAATGTTAGTTTAACTTGGCTCGATGTATTTTAAGATTAATGAGGACGAAGATGAGGTTCTCAATTATCGCCATAGTAGCTATACGCGGTAGCAATTGTCGCCTGTCTGATGTGTGATGGCATGTCGATGTTCTAGGTCAATGTTTATGATGACCACCTGCCCCTTGGCGTGGTAACAACTATAGCGGTAGCGATCTTTCCACAGGCGAACGGGCATAATTAGATTAAATTGAGAAGGTGTCCGTGTCTGTTTAGTACGTAACGTATTTGCCTGTCAATTTTAGGGACGCATTGTGATCCAGGGACATAAACAGATTTCGTCCGACTGAAACTTTTTACATAGAGAGATTCCAAAAAAAAAAATGTATCGGAAACATTGAATGTGGCACAATTTAGCTTAATTGATGTACAGACGTATTAACGTACAATTTTTACCTTTAGAATTGGTCAACGAATATATATATTTATTATGGTTAACAAGGTGTATGTTACCGTAACGTTGTCTAGTGACTCTTCTATGACACAGTTCGTGTTTTCGCAAACGTCGCATCGTTTTAAGTGAATATTTACAGACGGACAAGTGTTTAACGGTGTACCCTCGACCCGCCTACATTGAACGTTGCTTTGTACTAAGCCCCAATTCATAATCTCCTGCAAACTAGCGTACCTGAATTCAAAGCGCTTTTATCAGGTCATAAATCACTTCGACGGGTCATCGTCACCTGCAGTGTGTTTTTGTGCTTAAATATGGGTGGAATGAATGGAGCCAAGATGGAGTCTTAATAGGATTATTTGTGTTACACCCTCACCAGATGCCCGCCTGTCCCTATAGGCAAATTTATGAGTCAAATACCTGCACCTTTTTTTAGGGTAATCATTAGTCATCCCCAGGTATACTTGTAGCAATTCTACAGGGATCGACTTTAGCAATCCAAAGAACGACGCACTGTTCTTAAGTACAGAGTGTGCAAAAGTTGCCTTTAGAGGTAGTCGATCTTTTCGAACGCGATATTTAGACATTTGTACTTGACGAACCATATTTACTTGAACTGCTTTTAGCTATATCGGTATCAAGGATGGGTCAATGGGGTTAAATGATCATTTTCATAGTTTCTTTCGTTGCTTGATTTTGGTGCAAAAAGCGCATCCAGATATGTATTTTTTTCGCTCAAACGGAATACTATTTTTTGGATCTCGTAAGTATCGTATAATATTAATTTCAGTCACCAGCATCGTTTCAACAGTTTGTCAGCTACCCAGGTCCGCTAGTGGGGCACGCTCCACACAAAACCTATCACTTACGCATTGACCCAAGCAGATCCCTCTTCAGATCCAATGAAGGGCCCTCTAGGTGACCGCAACCCACCTCAAGGTTCGCATCATATTATGTGAACCTAATGGAGGCATCTATATTTTCCGCTGAACTTAAGTGGTCACGATCAATTGAAATGGTACCGATCCGACTATGGGGGAAGGGTATGGCACTGAGTGATTTTCAGCTTGTATATCGTATTTCGTCAAACGGCATTCTTGGTACCTCGGTACTAAATTTGACTTAAAAGTTTGTGAAATTGAATCAAGTCAACAACCAGTATAGTTACTAAATTAGGCATGGCTACTGTAAGGTCATTATACGTAACGCGAGGGAAACTTATGGGTTGAAACCGCTTGAATAAACCTTTTTTTTTTTTACTTCCAAGTTGCCCACCTCCCCTCACGCCACGCTACCAGAAGGTGTGAGCTGTTTCTTCAAAGCTCTACTACCTTCAACTTTTCCATCGTCGGGATAGAACATGCTGCAACTGCTGAATTTGTTGACTTACGTTATACTCGAAGTAGGAAGCGTTTTTCTCGCCAAAAATAAAGATCCCCAACTCTCAAATAATTCACAAATGGTTCCTAAATTCATTTTAGTGCCTGTAGTGTCGATAGTGTATTAGCTATCGTTATTTGATTAAGTTAAGCAAATGATAACATTACCTCTAGCTTATGTGTTTCCTCTCCGTATGTGGTGCCTTGGCTCAAACATGAACGCCTCCGAACAATGCAAAGAGATCAATCTCGCATTTGACGTTTATCAACGATCATCTCGTGGGATCAGCGTTATGAAAGAAGGCCTTGAAATCATACTTCAGACGGCGGAATCAATCAATCGAGAAAATGTCCCAGTGAAGTATTTGTTAGCCTAACAGATATCCACGTTTCTCTGATCTAGTCAATTGTTTTTTTGCGTATTCGCTGATACGTTCGAACTCGCAGAAGATAACTAGGTTTCTTTCTAGGTTTTTATATCTGGTTACATAGTCAGCTAAAAAATGTATACGTATCACGAAGCTCAAAGTGCCAGAAACACAAAATGTCTACGTATACAAATTCGCAGAGAGAAAACGTTCAGCCAGCGCGGTTTAACGATTCCGCCTCATCAACTGGAATAAGTATCATCTGTCTGCAGCTTATATAATCATAACTCATTTTCTAATCGATCGCAGATTTTTGGGCATTGGATACTTATTACGGTATGTTTTTCTGACCCATTTTTTTTCTGGCATAGGCGATGGCGACTGGTTGACATGTAGCAGCCTTGATTTGCAAATAAACTACAAATACATGTTCGAGCGCTTGTATGGGCACAGGGCACTGATAGTTCTCGTTGTCGATAATCGTAACGTTATAGGATCTTCCAATAGAATTTAACAAGTATGAATTTATCGTAATTGTTCTTCTCTCATATGTAACACACTTAATATAGACATACAAGCTTAAGTTTGTCGAATTTTTCGATGCTAGGTAAAAAAAATATGTATATATATATATATATATATATATATATATATATATATATATATATATATACAAAAGATTAGAATATTTTCAAGCGACACAAACAGTGCCAATAGTTCTACCCTCAGGCATATCCAAATATGTCCGCATGCTACATAGTTGATATCGAACGCATCATCAGGAAGTATGCTAGGTTTAACCAGATATGGCACTGGTTTTCGTCGACGTTATGTTCAATACTTCCGAATCTTGGTTCAATGTTTATCCAATGTTAAAAGAAAACCCAGACAAGAAAATTTTCTTTGATCAAATCGCTCAATCTAACCTAGAAACTTTAAACGCATCCCATAGTAGAGCCATTTCATAACGCGTTATCATTTCCAAATCAATGAAATTCTTATTGCTACATCGCTAAGTAGCTGTGAAAAGAAAACATTACTATCAATAAAGTTCGGCATTTCCATCGATCTGGGCCATTAAAATCACCGACTCACATAATGACACGAACCTCATTTTTCGTACTTCATCGGGTGTTTTTTTAGAAATTTTTTCACAAAAATTTATAACACCCGATGAATCATGAAGTAAAACACATGAACACACACTTGAGTAATTGGCGCTGAGAGATTTCCGAAAAGCTGGAAGCATCATAACAGTCTTCGGGGATAAAACCGTCGGTTTACTTTACAACGCTTTGGTGTCGCCCGTTAATGGTATCTGCAAGGTGAATCACAGGAAAGCTCCGTAGACTGTCACAGTATACATAGCGGATAGTAAGCCTATTTTTAGGTACGTATATTCGACCCTGGACTTTTGTCCTTGGCAGAAACGTATAAGTATGTATTGGTCATTTCACTGTTGTAATGGCCTTCCAAAGTGCTAGAGGTGGCTAAAGCTACTTCGGGCTGGCTGGAACTCTTTTTTGTGTTTCGGCTCACCTAACATACGGTGTCCCTGAACCTTAAACATCCGATTGCTAGATTTACATTGAAGCTCAGTAGAATGTTTATATGAATGCTGCTTATCAATAGTACTTTACATATGTCAAATTTGCCAAGAACCGCATCTTCTAGATGCAGAAAAATTACAAACGGCGGAAAGGATCCTACTTTTTCAAACAAATTCGGTACGTTTAGGCATTCCATACTGCTGGGTCTGGCACTGTTTTCCGATAACGTATCTTCAGAGAATCAGGTCTATCTCAAGTAGATCAAGGACATGAAGCTCAGCTTCATTGTTGTTGAATTCGTACGAGCGTGTTTATATCATAATGATTCGCACTTCAAATGAATGGCGCGGTATGTTCTATTCAAACAATCAGATAAAAACATAAGCTATTCGAAATCCCCGAAACAAGCACTATTGAATGTGTGAACGCTTCGACCGACATGGCTCAGTCCGAGCTTGTCGAAGTTGTCGTGACAGATTTAACTTCTACCGATATTCCACAAAGGACCTCACTGATGATTAAGCCTTCCAGAGATTTGTACAGCGTTAATTTCTGTGGTGCCCGGAAGCTTTTTGTGGTGGCATACGAGCAAGGCCAAAAGTCGACGATAACGACATGCCGAGTAACCCTTAAGCAGGTCCCCAATCAGGTAGTCAATCTGAGAACCCTGTAGACAGGGACTTCTCGTCATCTCGATATTAGTGAAGTGTTACCTTTACCAGAAACGCCGTTAGCAATCAAATCATATTACCGTAGGGCAATCTGCAAGAATACTTGGGGAACTTGTGCTCATAAAGCTCAATGACGACGGAAAGATTGTATCTATCCACCAAATAAGAACGGTGCATTATTACTGCTGAGAATAATTTCAGGGCCGATACCAGGCAAAAGGTATAAGGTCCTTTGCATATTCGTACAATAATATCGCAAGTGTCTTCGAGGCAACAGGAGAGACAGTGGTTAAAACAGTATTGTCATGTGCTTTGAATCTTTTAGGGGTGTTGCATTGTTAACTTCAGGTACTTACTTTTGCTCAGAACACACCACGCTAGGTCGTCGCTTGATTGTCGATCTAAGCGCTCAAATTTGCTTTTCTATTTAGACCTAACGACCAAAATAGTTAGCTAACACGTCTGCGTCAATAAGAAAATGTCTATTTAGTGTACGTTCTTCTATCTGTGTATTGTTCTCTGAATCGCAGCTTCTAATCGATGTAACAGGCCCATTTCGTTTACTTCCACTTGTTTCTACCGATGAGACACTCGTGTACGAAGAAGTGCGCGATGGTATCGAGGTAAAAGTCTACGTCAAAGGAGAGCCTGTCACTGAGACTCAATCCAGAACTTGCTCCTAGACGGAGCAAATCTACATGGGCACCCAGGATATTAGATGCTAGAAATAGAAATAGAAGAACTTTTGTTAAAACGAAAAACGTGTTTATCCATCTATGTAGAAAACAGCGTGTGAGTCGTATTTCATTGACTTAAACGATTTCCTGAGTAAGCCAGCGTACGTCGAGTACTTGAATGTTGCGTGAACTGCATAATATTATGCATAAATCTCCGAGTGTACCGGAATTGAAAGGAGTTTATATACATATATATATTGGATGTTGGTCTTTGAAGATCCAATACGACTAGCGTCGCTGGGTTTTTTTGTCATAGTATAGTACTATTTGCCTAAGAACTAAAATTATGGACTGATTGTTGTGAAGCTTAGCACCGCCACCCAACTATTATGGTTACATTTCGAGGACCCAAAAAGGGAAAGGATATTTACTAAATAATTACTTTGCTTTTAAATATTTATATTGCATACATTACATTGTTACAAACGTCGCATTACATGATTACTGCTTAATCAGCAAGGCATTGCAATCCTCCCTGCTCGCTATAGATGGAGCGTAACCGTTCGGACGATTCTCTTTATGTCTTGAAGACATCAATAGGAGTGTTGAACTTACAGATGTTTACATGTAAAGTACCGAAGTTTGTTGCCACATAAACGCAATTTATTGACCATAAAATCTGGGTCACAGGCAATTCGAATTACCCATGTAGCGCCGCAAAGTCACCCGAGTTTCAAGGATCGCTGCCTTCGCCGGTCGCCTTGGTTGCATTGCCGAGAAAAATTCGAAAGTTTAATTGTGAAGCTTAATAATGGCATCAAAAATGTCGCGACAAATAGCAGCTGTCAGTCGTATTGTAATACTAGTAATAGGATCGATTTTATCTGTGACGAACTACGAAAATTAGGTTTTAGATACTCTTATTTTATCCTCTTGAGACGTTGGCAGGGGCGGCCTCGATGGCAAATGGACATTAACTATCCAAAAATTGAGCTCAATGCATGCCGTCAAAGAAAAGTGTGTATCAGGAAAAACTTTCTAAAAATAGAAACCTCAGGAAAGCCAGTTGTAGTGCCTCTGGTTGATTGAAGAAAACAGCTATTTAAGCCCCCTTCGTCGGTACCTCAATGCGGCCTTAAGATAGAAAATCAATGTCTAGCGAAATCTGAGAAGCTTATGACATCTAGTAGATAAATTGGCACCAATATTGTAAGATTGTTCTCCCTCTTTTTACATACATGTGTTGTCTGAGTGTTTAGTTAGCCCGAATGACTCTGACTCTGATCATCATAATAAATCTGTTCGATAATAACCTTATTTACTAATGAATGAATAGCAATAAAGCTTCGCGTCGAATGGAGCATATCGTGGTACACGACGGCAGTCACCGAGAAAGGGGCTCGTTCTCTTTTTATGTGTAAGGTCTAATAGTTGACTACTCTTTCCATGTTTTCTAATTCCGTAACAACGTGGACCTACGTGGATCGGCTATAACCAGTCTCAATCAGGTATAGTCCATTTGGTGCGCCGCAGTGCGTACTGAAATGTAAAGCGTCGTTTCCGTCGTCCTGTCAGCCACAGCTAAGATTTGCTTCTCATACTTCATAGCTTTTGCGTTAGTTCGATTTAGCGTTACTATTACTACTGGTCCAGCCAGTGTACGTATGCTTACGTTGCAGCACGCGTGATATTGTGGCGTCCTTCTGTACAATGGCCTCGAGTTGTGCCGGGAGGTTGACTGCTCGCCGGGAGGTCGCAGATTCGAAATAGGAGTCCGACTCGGCGTGTGTGCGATTGTGGGTGCTCCCTCGGCGACTGGGTACAGTTCGATGGGGTGATGTCAGCCAAGGGGATACTATCGAGGCATTGGCGGCCAACCCGACCCTATCTTCTATTGCTGAAGAGCGAACAAGGCGAAGGGTCGACGCAATGAAGGCATGTCGCAGAAGAGTAGTTCCAACGTAGTTTTCCGGAGACAATCGCCAGTAGCAGTACTTACTGGCAGTAGCGACAGCAGCCATTGAAGCACGGTGACGTTGAGGAAGAGACTTCATTAACGTTGTCGTCATCGTCAGCCTAACTTACCTAGCAGTATCTTCTCTGTGTAGCCACGAGCCACGCTCTCGCCGTTGTAGGCGTCGCTGCTTCTGCTTTTCAGAGCGCTGATGTTAGCCGGTCAAAGATAAAATATACCGCTATCGTGGCGCTGCTAGCGGCAGTTGTGGGAAGAGCAGCGAAATACAGATCAAGGTACAGAGCGAATTGCCGGCGGACAATAAATCGATGTTCAGCGTTGTTGACTTGACGATAATTCTTAATGTATAGAAGTATATTTTTAAACTCTGCTTAGTCTACCTGAATGCTAGCAAGGTAGCTTTAAACGGATAAGAAACCAGTTTAGAAATAAAAATTAGCAGAGATAACAAGGTGAGCGAAACAAATGGTACAAAAATAATATGTGTTGCCTAAATAGACTTCGATTCAGCTAGTCCGTATGCTGAATCTACTCTGAGATGTTGTGAACTACACCCAGTGCCTCATTTGCACCCGTGATCAGGTCCTCTTTTCTCGTCGTTCAATTATGCTTTAGGACTGGGAAGCATTGTCTGCACCAATCGGCCACTTGGTAAATCATGTCAGCATCTTATCTGGCTAGTATTAAATAAACGTTTGGTAATAATCGAAAGCGTAGAGTAAATCAGAATAAAATCATCAGGAACATTTCAACAGCTATTAGAAACATATACGAATCACAATGAATACATTTAAAGACTGAAATACATTCTTATCTTTGGTGAACTTGAAAAGACACCTAGATACTGTCCTGCGTCATATCTGCGCGGTCCAAGTAATAACAATCTTGAATTCTGCCCGCCTTTCTACTTGCTGGCGCCTAGTAACGCAGAACGCTTCCGCCAGCGAAGCTTGCGGGCAAGTTAACACTGGTTCTATCCTGTTTCGTATGTTTTCTCTCACCTCACGATTCCTCTCGCTAAAGGACTGGTTAAAGATTAGCTAGCCATCCAGTAGCTTAGCTGGATATCTAGAGACGCGAGTGGCTGAGTGAGTGAGCTATCCTATTCCTTCCTTTACTGCTTACTCCTTGCTTGGTTTCATTCTCGTACGCCATCAGCACCCATCGCCGCTCGTATGGCAACACCAGGACGTTGTATTGTGTTGCGTCCTGTTGTTGCGTAGCATGTCGTACGGGTGTGTGTATGTGTGCCTGCGTGCGTCTTGCCCAGCTACTGCTTTTGTTATTGTTGTTGCTGCCGGGAGCTGGCATGGTCGACGCGGCCGTCGTCATCGTTTTCATCGTTAATTACATCTATTCGCCAGGAGGCGCCCACCCGTAGCTACCAACGCCATAGCAGGCAGCAGCCTCCTTCGAGTGTTTACACTTGTCAATTAAACGACCTTTTTCATTCGTCGACGAGGCGGCTGCGGTGGCCAGGAGTGGCTGCTCAGGATTGGCTGACGCTCGGCTACCACGACCAATCGCCACTGAGACGCCTTTGGGATAGCTGAATTCGTTCGCTGATTGGTCCGTTTCCGTGGGGGGTTTTTCGGCGACCACCGCCTCCTCTGCTGGTTGTGTTTTGTTCGTTTGCGGGCTGTAGCAGCTTACAGTGGAGTAAGCACCCCCAGCGCCAGCTGAAGCAGAGAACAGGCGTTTAACAGGCAGAGATAGACAAGCGTCGCGGCGTTGCCGCGGGTAGTACCGCAACCCAGTGCGCGACGCGATGCGCTGTAGGCGCTGTAGACCCACTCAGTTCAACACAGAGAATCACCGCTACCAGCGACCGTCAATGTATTGAGCTCCGTGCCACTGGACCGTACCGTGGGGCTTCAAAGTGAGGGAGCTTCTCTCTTGTGAGGGTGCAGCGACTGAAGTAAAAATAGGACCATGTGAGTTGATTTTTGGGAAAGATATGAATCTTAAGACGGATGAAACACAACCGTGAAGAGAGTAGTACGACTAAATAAAACGGCGTGTACATATCCAGTGTATGTATGAAGACAGGTCGGATACTGAAACTCGCGTGTTGAAACAAAACGGAAATAGATGACGATAGTTATACATTTAAGGCATTTCGACGTGGTAAAAATGTATACAATTTGTTATCACATCTTGCATACGTGTTTGATTAATACAGTTATTAGTAACTGACTATCTTGAACACCGTTTAGAAGATGCTTAATATTTGTATGAAAAGCTTGATGCAATTATATGTAATGCTGGCTATGATAGAGCCCCTAATAAAGACCATGGGATCAACTAGTTTAACGAAATTCAGCAGACTTTACTGTCCTTGAGCTGCTTTTCATTGCTCGTGCTGCCATTACAACTTGTACGAATAAACGAATAAAAATACAATCTTTAGCTCAAAGTTAAAATCCTAATCCAAGCCGCCAGAAACTAGAAGAACAAGTTCTGTTTGGTGTCGCCCGTATCGGTAACTCAGAACCGGACTAGGAGGACCAAAAATTTGCCAGCAAAACCCAGTTAGCGACTGGCTTAATACGGTAAGCTGTTTCGGATAAAATAATGGACGATGCCATCATTTGAAATCAGTAAATAAGCGATTTATTATTATTATTACTATAGTGAACCTATTATTGTGTTGTTTTTTATGGTACACTATTCTTCGCCATATATATATATATATATATATATATAAGACAATGTATTATTCTTAATAGAAATAAATGTCGCATATAAGGAAACAGTCCGACGAAACCGCTACGCAATCGAAAAGCCTTGTGAGATTCCTCACTGCGACGGAAGAACCGAGCACACAGAGGGAAAGAGTCGATCGTAGTGTACTTCAGACCAAATCCCCTCAATGAAAGACTGGGCGGAGCCTAGTCAATCAAATGACTTCAAAGGCAGTGTTGCGATGGTCGACACGAGTTTGCTCGTTGCCAGTTTACTCTGTATAATATTAGTAAGAAAATCACTAGACATTTAAAACAAATGCTATCATACATTACATGATCTTAAAATATCTACTAGAATAAGAATTGTGCAATTAAGTATTTGCTTCTTCAAAGCTCAAAAAATTTCTCTCCAAAAATTAACCCCAAAGGTCAGGTATACTTATGACCGTGAGTAATCAGCATCACCGTGCGCGCGGCACACGAGCTTCAATGATACTCCTCCTCAAGCTAAAATAT